TTTTTTTTTTTTTTTTTCGTTTTTTTTTTCGTTTTTTTTTTCGTTTTTTTTTTCGTTTTCTTTTTCGTTTTTTTTTTCGTTTTTTTTTTCTATTTTTTTCGTGTTTTTTTATTTAGGCAGACCAACGTGTTTCAGAAGTATAAATCAAGAGGCAACGTGCAGTCATTCATTCATTCTTGCGTGAGCCATGCGGAAGCGTTGCCACAAAGACTTGTGCTACGGTGGTCTGCAAGAGCCCGGATATGATTCAACATTTTTTGTGGAAGACATTGATTGGGCATTCCGCTGGGAGACTATTTCTGGACTTCGCTATCGCGATCTTGGTCTTCCCTCTCACCTCCATCTTCGTCTCGCCTCTCCCCCCACCTCTTCATCCGTGTTATCTTCCCCATGTGGGTGAGCAAGGAGGGACCTTTCTTCCATGTATGCGGTCCCTTCTCCCTCACGATAGCTGTGTGGTGTATGATGGAATGTCGCGTCAGTATCGGATCAGCTCATATCTTTGAGTCTTCCATTGCGGTACATTGTGCTATTTTCATATGTATGTGGATGTACATTGCTTGTGATGCTTTGCTAACGCTGCATTGTCCATTCGAGTCCTTTTCACCACTATGTGGATCGTTGGGTCTGTAATGACCCGCCAAAAACACAGACTGAGAACACTGCTGATTTCTGGGATTTGCCGTTGGAATGAATGCCTTGCTGAAATTCCTGCATTCTACTGTGATTTCCATGTCTGTGTGTGTGTGAGTGCCTGCTGGTTTGCATGCCTGTCTGAGCCGGTTGAGTGTGTGTGTGACCCGCAAGGGTACTTGTTGGTTGTAAGGGCCCGCAGGGCCGGTACTTACCTGTGGTCGTGACTTTGAGGGTTGCAGGGGGGTAAACACTCAAGTCGCGGGGGTAGGCCCGCGACACTTACAGCAGGGGGAAAAACACTCGAGTAGCAGGCAGGCCGGTACCACTCGAGTGGTGGTATGAGTGTCGGGTACTGGAGGCCGAGCAGAAGAAGACAAAAAGTTGGCATTTTTAGAGGTCAGTAGCAGTAGGATAGCGGTAGGATAGCGGTAGGCCGGTACCAGTCCAAGCAGCCCGGGTCTAGGGCCTGTACGGCGAATAGCAGAGCCTGCAATGATGTTTCCCTCCGAAAGGGAGGAGGTACCGGTTGCTGGGAGGCCGCTCGGCCTACGAAGTCACCGCCCAGGAGGCCAGTAGGCCGCTATATCTCCAGGAAGAGCAAAGAGCTCTTCCTCATTTGCGGTATGCAAGGATTGGCGACATGCTGCTGGAGTGCAGCGCTGGAGAGTACAGCGCTGCTTGGAGGTAAAGGGCCGCTGGAGCTCAGCCTGGCTATGGCGAGCAGTCCAGCTTGAGGAGGAGGGAGAAGGGGGGCATGGTGGGAGAGTGGCGAGGCACTTACCTGGCTATGGTAGACACCATCTTCATCACCTTGTTGGGCGCTGCATCTGGAAGGCCCCAGTTGGGATAGTGCTGCACCAAGGAAGCTTGAGGCAGAGTCAGGCATGGCGGACCAGTCAGCAGTGGCATAGCTGCTTTGGGTTGTCCTTTGGACATCAGCGCAGCACCATAGCTGCTTTGGGTTGTCCTCTGGACGTCAGGTCAAGGCCCTCATTAGTCCGCCATAGCCTATGCATGAGAGAGGAGGCTGAAGGAGAGAAGCCATAGCTATGGTGGACTGGTTGTTGTTGTTGTTGTTGTTGAGTTGAGTCAGCAGTAAGAGGGAACTTCAGATATTGATTCTGGTTCATCCATTCATTGTTATTATTATTATTGAGAGAAGAATAAGACTGGTGAAGTGAAGGAGGAGGAGGAAGGTGGAGAGAGAAGGGGGAATTGTAATTGGTCTTGCTGGTGTACTTCTTCTTCTTCTTCTTCTTCTTCTTCTTCTTCTTCTTCTTCTTCTTCTTTCTCTCTCTCCTCTGGTCTTTATCTCTTTGCATGTGCTTTCATTTCTTTTGCAATTGGGTGGCATTGTCTTTCATTGTGAATTTGCACTTGGGAAATGACCAGGATCGTAACAGGTCCATATACATTGCTGAAGAAAAGAAAAAAAGAACAAATTGCTGTAGAAAACAAGAAAGAAAACAAGAAAAAAGGAAAAAACATGTTGAACTTTGTTGTGACAGTGGCAATTGGTTTATCTGTGGGATGTGTCATTTGCTTTGTTTGACTGATAGGCCTTCCTCTTCCCTTGTCCTTTCTTTCACTGAATCACGTTCTCTTTCTTTTGCCTCTGTGAGGTCTGGTTTCCTCCTCCTTTTCTTTACCTCTTTGCCTTTTGGCTGCGTGCAAGTGGGTCCTTGTGACACCCGGGGATGGGGGGAGCCAACGCTCAACCTGTCATCCACGTGGCTGGCCTTGTACATAAGAGGTGATGAACCGGCGGAGCTTTCCTTCCTTCCTTCCGGTTGGGCCTCAGTTCCTGCGCCCAGGCCCGAGACTACAGTTGAGGGCCAGGGCCCTTTACAGTTGGATACGGCCCGAGTTCCTGGACTTGGGCCGTTTGGTGCATTTGCACAGGACCCCGGGGGTAGGTATGTCGTCAGTACTGCTTTTACATCTGCCTGTGGCCACTTCAAGATGTATCAGTCCTGCTTTGTGTGTATGTGCCCGGGCGCAACTGCCGAGGCCTGGGCCGATTGTACGACGCAGCTTAGTGAGGCTCACTCGTCCACTCAACCCACTGGCGTGCTGCAAGAGCCTGAATACCCACATGAAAATGTCGAATTTTGCCTTTGATGAATATTCAGGCCCGCCTTCACTTAGGGCGGGCACAAGGCTTACTGGGGGCCTCGGCCCAGAACATGTGTATGGCTGATAGGGCCCCGTGAGGGCTCGTACCTCGCATATATACATATATACATCAAACAGAGCTGCCCAGTAGTCCGTAGGCAGAGAGGGAGAAGAGGACAACAAACGAGGGGCTGTGACAAACTAAAGGACGAGGTTCAAATCCTAAAGGACGAGAGAGAGAGAGAGAGAGAGAGAGAGAGAGAGAGAGAGAGAGAGAGAGAGAGAGAGAGAGAGAGAGAGAGAGAGAGAGAGAGAGAGNCTCTCTCTCTCTCTCTCTCTCTCTCTCTCTCTCTCTCTCATTCACTCACACACACACACACACACAAATGAAACACAGTCAACGACCTTGTTCGAAAATGTCACTAATAGGTGGGACAAACCTATGTTCGTAAATGTTATGAAAGAAAGACGACTGAGATATATAAGATGATGTGAAACCGTCCCCTCTCTCTTCCTTCCTCCCTAGCTCAAAGTCTATTTCCCCCACCACCTTTACCTATTGCCATCAAACTTACAATGAATTGTTTGTGACTGAATTCAATTATAATCATATGCAAACAATTTTAGATAATTATTCAAATTTGGAAAAAGAATTACGGGCGTAGCAAATATTATATTCTTCATTTTGTGATATAAGTAAAAAAACAACAAACTCACAAATGTGTAGCCCTAATCTGTATATTGTTTATATGTAATAAAATGTACTGTGTATTGTATTGTCTAGCGGATTATCAAAATATAAAGTTATGTAATAAAATGTACTGTGTATTGTATTGCCTAGCGGATTATCAAAATCTAAAGTTATGTTTGGGATACCTATCGGAGTTGTGAAATTTTGTGGCAAAAATCAATAGAAAGAAATCAGTTAGCGGATATTAATAGCTCGATGCACAAAAAACAACACACTCATAAAAATTGATTGGGGTGCAAAAATTTTCTTGAGGTTACCATGCATGTGTACTTATGTAAAAAACAATACAGGTATGTAAGTAATGTAAGTTTTTGTATAGAAATGAGAAGTATATGTGCCTTATTCAATGTATTCTGTTGTAGAGACAATGCCTAAATCAGGGCAGGGGGGAAGGAGGAGCGTAAAAAAAAAAAAAAATTATATTTCAAACAGAACACGGAGAGAGAGAGAGAGAGAGAGAGAGAGAGAGAGAGAGAGAGAGAGAGAGAGAGAGAGAGGGCATTAAAGACCGTGACATCTGTAGATGGATGCTTATGTTGACGGTTGACCCCCCTCTCCCCCAAATATCTCATTCACATTCGGGGGTCCAGCAAGTTTGCCAAATCCCCTCTGCCTTAGAAAAACAAAAAAACAAAAAAACAAAAAAACAAAAAAACAAAAAAATCAATTAATAATCAATTAATAAATCAATCAAGCTAGCAAGCCACAAATGAATCAATTGATTGATTGATTGATTGATTGATTGATTGGTGCTTCCAACTAAAACCATGTGCTCTGCATTGAAAAAAAAAAAAAAAAAACAGCATTTTTTTTTCAAAGAAATAAATAAATTCTCTTTCATTGTTTCACTGCAATCTAATGAGTGTGTGTGTGTGTGTGTGTGCCTCTGTCTGTGTGTGCTGTGAATTTTCACCACAACATCCACAGTGCAAGGATTGAGCCCTCATAAGGCCCTTTGGGGCACACATGTTCTGGGCTCAACGCCCCAGCAAGCCTCATGCCCGCCCTAAGTGAAGGCGGGCCTGCACATTTTTGTGCGGCCTATTTTTGCCATTTTTCGTATGTGTGGTATCAGACAGTTGCAGCACGCCAGTTGGTTACAGAGCAACATGAGCCTTCCCTGGATCCTTCCAGAAGCAACAGCTGTGCCGTACAGTTGAGCCCAGGGAATCGGTTGAGGCCTTGGGCACACACATTCAAAGGCCGACATGTCACGTAGCGGCCGCAGACCAATGAGAAAACAGCTCCTGCGTCTCACACATGCCACGAGCCAATGAGATCGCGCTGAACACTTGGAGCCTCGTGGGCTTGGGCTACCTGGACTCGCCTAACTGCACGGGGCCCAGACCAGTATTTGAAGTTGGGCCTGGGCGCAGGTACTTTGCGCCAACCTGAAGCTACTGGGCCCATACACGCCAATCCCAGACCATCCAGCAACAAGGCTCACTTTCCACAAAGGAAGTGAGCGCCCAGGGGTGGAATATTCTGGCTTGAGTGGGCAATGCGGCCACGCGCTGCATTAGCGCATGAAGCAGCTCCGCCAGTGCTGTGGGCCAGACATGTGCACGGGCGCAGAGGTGAGAAAGGGGGCGTTGCTGTGGCAGTGGGCGCACGACGGTCAAAGCAGGGCTGCTGGGTGCAGGCGCGGTGATGGCGATGGTGGTCTCCAGGTAGGAGGCGCATGCAGTGGGGAGTCAGGGGTGTTGAGGGGAGGTGCGAGACACGTACTTGGTGTACGCTGGCGGTCTGCATTGGCGAATGACGTCACGTACATCGGACTTCAACTTCGACGTGTTCCTGTTGGATGAACGTAGATAGGATATATAGGCTGAGTACTGTCGGCTGAAAGTTGGGCGCCAGACAGTAGGAGCGACATTGAAAACTATATTGGTGAGACCAGAGAGCATCGGCATTGGCATTTGTGTTAGTTGTATTGCTTTTATTTGGAGAGTCGGTTGAGTGGCTGGCGTTGATCTGTCCATCCATGCATGTGTCCATGCCTCCCTTCCTCAATCCCTCCCTCCCTCCCTCTATCCAACCATCTATCCGTCCACCCATTCACCCACCCATCACCATCCATCCACCCACCCACCCACCCATGGACATCCATCAACCGATCCGTCCACCCACCCACCCACCCATCACTATCCATCAATTCGTCGNAAAAAAAAAAAAAAAAAAAAAAGAGAGAGAGAGAGAGAGAGAGAGAGAGAGAGCATGAAGAAAGAGTCTCTATTAAGTTGTGCTCTAAAAACTGCAGTCGTTTGACAACTCAGAGTGAATATAATCCTGGAGACGTTACGCGATTGCTAATATATCTTAGGGTTTGCAAAAAACGAAAAAACACAATAATATATGAGATTCACTTTTTATCTATATTTTTGTCATTTGTCATTGTCCATAATTACGTATTACATCTGCAAATGAAAACATAAATAAGAGCAACAATAATTTACAAGTGTCAGAATTAATGATAAAATAAATGTTTGCTTTATATTTTTTTTTCAAAATACACACTAATGTTGATCAATAAGAGTTCAACAGATTTTCAACAAGAGTTCAACAAGAGTTCAACAACAAACCAACAATAGTCTAACATGTTTTTCAACGTTGGACCAACAAAGTTTCAATGTAGAGCTTTCGTTGTTCTTCGTGATGTCCCCAAACTGACTGCAGGACCAATGTTGGTTTAATTGTATTCCTGATGAAAATAGAGGTTGCTTCCATAACAACACACGAACAACTGTTGATATACAGAAGAACTTCGTCAAGAAAGGAGTCAAACTTGATTCCCGAAAATACCAAATTTTTTCTGTTGGTGCGATGACGACGGCGATGCAGCGGTTGATCTGAGCTTTCATCTGTTGAGCAGCTGCGGAGCAGCTGCGACGCACACTCGGATCATCAATTCCCACCTGGGTGGGGATTGCGCGGACAACACACCGAGCGTCGGTGGAGGTGATCGTAACAACTCGTCGCCGAGCGTTGGTGGAGGTGATCGTAATAACTCGTCGCCGAGCGTCAATGGAGGAATTGGTGCGCGTAAACGACTGAACTGGATGCGCTTGTCGCCTGTGGCGCGAAGCGGACCCGGCGGTACTCGAGGGCGGCAGCCGGCGGAGGATTTAATTGGGGGAGTTCCGGACGTGCAACGCGACGACAGGCAGGTCTGGGCAGAATGCAGGCAGGAGTTGCATCGAGGTGAAACGGAGACGATCACCAGAGGGGTGCAACGGCTGCACGTCGACGAAGTGGAAGACACGGCTGTTGATGAGGGGCAGGGGTGTGACGACGTGGACGGCGAGGACGGCTGCAAGTCCGACGATTTGCCAGACATCAAGCCGCTTGGGAGGAGGGCGACGAGAGGCGGATCCGGTGCTAAGAAGGGCCCCGCCACGAAACCGAGACGGACGAAGAACATGGATAACGATGGCAAGGGCGGCCGGAATTTCTGGTCGGTGGGAGACACGGTCACGCTCGTGAGGGCGAAAAGGGATCAAGATCTGTATATCGCCAGCCTGGGGACTAGTTTCGCCCACATGAAAACAGCCGCGTGGAAGTGGGAGGACGTGCGGGTGAGGTTGCAGGAGATGGGAGTGATGAGGAATGCCGTCGACTGCGGGAAGAAATGGGACAACTGGATGCAGCAATTCAAGAAGGTGCACAAGTTTCAAAACCTCTCCGGCGGGAAGGACTACTTCAGGCTTGCTTCGAGTGACGAGGGATGCCGTCGACTTCAGGCTTGCTTCGAAATCGGAGGGCTTCAGCTTCGTCATGGACCGGAGCGTGTATGACGAAATGGAGGCCATGACGAAGGGGGATCACACGATCCACCCGACAAATTTGGCGGACACTGGGGCGGCGGGGGGGGTTCAAATGCCCGCAGGCGTGGGGGGAGGTGGGGGCACCATGGGCGGCGATGGTGGAGGGGAGACGACAGACGAGGAGCAGGGGTCGACGAAAGACTCGTCATTCAGCGCAGGGAGCGGTGGCGGTTATGGGAAGAGGAAGAACATGCGGCAACAAACCTTTGAAGCCGTCGCCGACGTCATGGAGAAGCATGGTGCGCTCATGGCGAGCACACTGGACAGCGCCAGCAAGCGGCAATGCTCTATGATGTCACGACAGTGCGAAATCCTGGAGAGCGAGGTGGACGTGCAGACGAAACACTATGCAGCGGCGGATGAGGCGAATAGAATGATGTGCAACGCACTGCTGGAGATAGCAAAAACCATCCGCGAGAGATCATGACTGACGCGCACTTTCATGTCCATCCGCGGATAGAGAGAGAGAGAGCGAGAGTGTGTGTGTGTGTGTGTGTGTGTGTGTGTGTGTGTGTGTGTGTGCGTGCGTGCGGGTGGGTGGGTGGGTGGGTGAGTGTCGACGGCAAATGCTTTGCATTGCCTTATTTTTAGAATTCAATTTGTTCCTTTTGTTGTGTTTTTGTAATATTTTTTTTTTTTTTTCTGCGTTTCTTCAAACACGGCAGTGCTCTGCGCTACATTTGCGGTGTCCCTGGCGAGAGGGGCACGTGTTGAGTGGGTCATGCGGGTCGACGATTGCGCGGCGGGTGT